CTCTCTAAGCAACAAGGTCTTGAGTCAACCTTCTTTCTCTTTCGGCCTCTGACGAGCTACCGCACCCAAACACATTCAAAGCCCATATAAATACAGCAGTGCATTGTTTCAGTATTACGATACTAATTCCTATACAAACATGTCCCTGGTGCAGCATAGACTGTTTTATACCACACCAAATCCAACATGATAAAAGCAACATTGATACCTGCCTGGTAAGAAATACTACACCTCTAAATCGCATTCAACAGACCCCTCTCCCCCCTCCGACGGTTCGTATCCCAGCAGGTCGCCAGAAATCCCGCTACAAGTCCTTATGTTGCCACCAAAGGGTTTAATGGGATTGTCGTTGGCATGGATTTACCTTGTTTGGGGAAGCACTGTTTACCTTGTTTGGCATCCGAATGGACCTAACTAACACTTATGTCATTGCTTCACCTTGGATTCATGCTTCGGACCACATTGCCCTACCTTGGCACCCTGTTCCTCCCCCACAGACACATACACAATCCGTTCCCTTCCCTTCGCGGACAACAACACTTGAAGGATCACATTGTACAGGCACACGCACCTACACGTATTTCGCATGCGCACACCTTGCACGCACACACCCCATCGCACTATGTCTTCATCCCTTTGTTTCGCACGTATACGCACGTCCTTGTACACGCATACCATTCGCTTACACACTCCATCGGTGCTTTTTCTTTACCTTCATATTTGAACCCGCTTTTTTACTTGCAACGTCCCGCATGCATTGCCCACGACGCACAACGGCAGGGATGCAAGCGCAATCTCTTCGAGCCTCTTCCTCATCGTGATGGCATCGGTCCTGCTGGGTTCGGCACTTCCTTTTGGATTCGCTCGCGCGGGGGTAGACCCTGCCAACGCCGGCACAACGATTCAGGTGTGTCGAGGGTGGCGAGCATTTACTTCGCCAATTCTAAATATTATATATACCTTAGACTGCGCCGCTTGTAAGGTCAGCAATAATATGACCATCGTTTGTGTGTTGTCGATTCTGACAGTGTGAGAAGACTGGAGTTCTACGTCATTGCCGAGGACCTCAGCAGCGCTAATTTCATCGGTGATACACATTTTTTTTTTGCAACAACTTGTTTCGCCGTCGAGCAGCAGCGATTGTTTGCGCCACTGCCTCTGATTGCGGCCCTTGGTTCAGCATCAACCAGAAAGTGAGCGTTGTATGTTCCTGATTGCGTCCTCCGTCAACATATCCCCCTCACGTCCAAACAACTCCGCGGGCTCCGGTTTGTAGTTTGTTGTTGTACCAGGCATGAAATGAAAACGTTTTTCTGGCCCGTCGCTTTAGTTTTACGATCCCGTTCAAGTTTAGAGCACTGCCTGTTGACGGGATACTGGCAAGGATGTTGAGGTCACGGGAGGGAACTCGTGGTGTTTTTTTGGTACTTCATGCCCAGCTTTCTACACAGATGCCCCCATTGTGTTCTACGTAGATACATTGATAATGCTTGCATTGAGAAAACATCATTTTGAGCTGTCTGTCCCAGGTCCTCGTTCCGACTGGTCGCTTGCACAGCAATAAGGAGATTGATTTGATACTGCTTGAACATGGACGTGGTAGTGAGAGGCAATGAGATCGCAGGGTAGGCAAAAGCTGCGAGAGATGGCTGACGAATGAGATGAAGTAAAACAATGAGCGCCGTTTGAGAGGGCGTTACCAGCGCGTCTAGCGCTTAGGGGTAAAGATGATTCAGCAATGGGCGTGGCGGTGGAGGCTCTGTCGGAGTCGACTGTTCCTGCTTTTGGTCTGCCAGTCGGCCTTGTCGCGGGCTCTGGCGGTTTCTGGAAGATACCGACGCAGAACGCGTACCAACTGCTGTCGCTCTTCTTAGTGTCCACAAGCCTGCTCGTTGTCACTGTGCATCATGCAAGGATGGTCTTTGGCGTACTCTGGAGAAGGTGTCAGTCAGCCCATGATGCGTTGCAGCTCGCAGCACCATGTCCACACGCTTGTTTCAGGAAAATATGTCGACCAGAATCGAAATCGCATGCCGCCACACCAAACGCTGCCCTACCACAATTATTTTGCAGTGTAGCCCACAACGGTGCAATCCCTGCACGGCAGCACGTATCGTTGGTCCTGATGACGCCGGGCTACGCGGAGGAGCAACCTCGTAGCGGGGATAGCCGTAACCCCCGCCTTCTGATGTTACCCATGCCGCCCCCCTACACCCCTTGGTCTCGTCCCTCACCACTATGGTTGTTGTAATATACCCCCCACGGCGCCCCTTTGTCACTGAACTCAATTTTACTGTCGGTTGTCCACCTGCTGCATCCCTCTCTCCCGNACGCCGGGCTACGCGGAGGAGCAACCTCGTAGCGGGGATAGCCGTAACCCCCGCCTTCTGATGTTACCCATGCCGCCCCCCTACACCCCTTGGTCTCGTCCCTCACCACTATGGTTGTTGTAATATACCCCCCACGGCGCCCCTTTGTCACTGAACTCAATTTTACTGTCGGTTGTCCACCTGCTGCATCCCTCTCTCCCGTACAACACGTGCGTTTTTTTTTTTTTTTTCAGGTGGCCATGGACATCGTCGGAGTCGCGGTTACCTGCGTGACCTGCTCCCTGGTCTTGACCCAGCTGGATCAGGTGCTTACCCTTCCTCTTTGAGCGGCGTTGACCCAACTAGATCAAGCCCCTCCCTTGAGCGTTCTTGGCCCAGCTGAATCAAGCCCTTCCTCTGAGCGGTATTGACCAAACTGTTGGATCAGGTCCTTGCCCTTCTTCTCTGAACGGGGAGAGCATCAAAGTGCGGTCGGGGCTGGCTGCGATCGATGCAATCTCCTCGGAGGGGATATTGCGCAGCTGCTGCTGCGTAAGGGTCAACGTTCATGGTATTACGTGCTGTATGTTTATAGTAAGATGAAATCATGGAAATATTTTTACAACCATTGCTCGCACCGTGCTAGATATTCCAGCTCTGTCATGTGTATGTAGACTTGTAGACTCCCCACGAAATGCGTTTTCATTTTCATCTGGTTTGAACCCACGACTTTGATGATCCATCCACGAGTTCTGAATTGGTGACCCGTTCCTAGAGAGAGAGAGAGAGAGAGAGAGAGAGAGCAAGGTGCCCGCAGTTTTGTGGTGGCGATAGGTTTTGAAAAATGAGGAAAGGCGTCAGTTGGTGAAGGAAGCAATGAGGGCTAGGTGTTGGTCTTCGTGCGTTGCGTGTGGTTGTGTTCAGAAAGTCACCTCCGCAATGCCCGTAGGTTCTTGTATTTTGTCTCCCGGTTTTGTGTTGCAGTTATTGTATTGTTAGTTCCTAGGTCGCGGTAGTTCGTCACCACAGAGACTCGCTTATTTGCCGTCGAGAGTCAGTTTGTACAAATGAGGTCAGAACGAACTTTGATGCGAAGGAACATGGACCGAAGTCTGGCTTGATTCCCCTTCTTTGTCTCTCTCTCTCTCCGCCTATGGCCTCGTTGAATCGAAATCTACGAGAACCACTGAGAGCCCGACAGCAACGGTTCTACGTATTTCCCTTGTCTCTGCCTACCTCCCGCAAATATATGTTTTGAAAGAGCAACCCGGGGGGAATCGTGCCCTGTGTCGTTCTTCCGGGCGAGGGCATGCTGCGATGCGAAACTGACCTCTGGTCTCCGTGAGAGGCGTGAAACAGACGGGGCATTATTACATTGAGCGGGTTTTGTTGTCTTTTTGGTCCCATCCGCGCGCACTTTACCGAATAAGTCATGCTCACCTTCCAAAGTTACCGTACCACAACGTAGTGGGACGAGGGGCACTGATTTGGTACCAAGAAGCTCCCCCAACTCGCCCCCGATTTCTGTCAAAAACAAAATAAGTCACACACCTACGTTACCACCGGTGCCCACGTAGTGCGTAACCTCGCCAACCTACCAAACAGCAGCTGGTGGAATGTGGGTTACTTACTTTCTCTCGTGAGTACAGCACTTTGCAACCAAATCTGTGGTGAAAAGCGATAAACTTGAGGGTACAATAAAGACGTCCTAAACTTACAATACCGAATGGTACCGACTGGCGCAAGAATAGATGGGGTGAAAACAATTACACCAATACGGCCATGAGGGCTATTCAGTGTTCCGATGACTGCTGCTACAGCTGCCTCCCTGTCAACATGCCGTGCGCTTGTCTACACGAAATCTTGTCGCACAAAACGTACTGAAGCTGCGAGTGAACCCCCCCCGCTTCTTACTGCGTGACCATTCCCCGTGCCCCCCTGATACCCGTTCGATTCCGTGGCCCCATATGTATGACGCAACAACGCGCAAGCTACCGCGGTCGACGCTGCGATAGCCACCTTCATCTATCCTTTGGGATAAGTCGAATCTCGAGGTCGAAAAAACTACCAAGTACCGAAAATTGAAACAAAACCTGGCGGGTCGAAAACACTGCAAAGACAGAAAAATAAAACCACTAGGCTTACATAACAAGCACCACCACCCAACAGGTGGAACGCACCCCCCGCCCCCCCCCTCCCAACGCAAGCTCTCGGCTGATTCCACCGACACCCCTGAACCCAACCGCAGTGCCGACGGAGGGCAATGCCAAAGCGAAATGCGCAGAAACGGGTGTCCGTAGGGTACGTACAGAAGCGCCGCGGGTATTCTCGTTCTACCGGGGCATCTACGGTAACTTCCGTGAGGTCTGTGCCGGTTCCGAAACCCTAGTCGGAACTCCTGCACACCCTCTCTACTCGGAAGTTCTGTGAGTTCTTTATACCGAGGGTGCGGGCACAACGAAAATAACACAACACAGGGAACAAAGTGTGCAGTACGCCGAAAACAGCGAACATACCGGGACAAGTGACAAAACCCGTGGCGCGGGAACAGGTGCGGTAAACGTTTGTGTGAAGGTATCTGAAGCGCTCTGTGAGTTCTGTAGACCAGCTCACACGCCCGATTTTTTTTTCTTGAGTTCGGTGGAACTTCCGAACCCCAACCGATTCTCCGGGAGTTCTGTGACAATTTCCGAAACCCTGCGCGGAACTTACGGACACCCGGCGGAAGACAATTCCTTTGCTAGATAGTCACCACTTGCCGCTCTTCCTGGCGCGGACCTCGCGGACCTCGTCACTCCCCCCCCCCCCCCCCCCCCCCCCCCGGCGCTTCCTGCCAGCCCGTTGCTGGGCGTGCGCAATCTCCACTCAAAATGGTGTGTTCCTCCCCATGGGGGAAAAACACTACGGTACCGCTGTGCGCGAGACCATCACGTTTCGGCGCCGTTAGCCCCCGTTCCCGAACTATCGGCGCCAAGCAGCGCTGCCGCCGCCGCCGCCTCCGCCGCCGCCGCGGCCGTCTCGGAAGGCGCATCGCCGGCGCTGTTCACGGACGACGATGCCGCGGTGGCAAGCCTGAGCAGCGAAGAGGTGGACCTCTCGCTGTGGGCGCTGGTCTCTCTGCTGACTCTCCCCGCCGCCGCCGCCGCGGCCGCAATCATCGCCTGCCCCACCGTCGCGCTCCCTCTCTTGGCGCTCTTGGTGCCGTCTAGGCGCCTGCTTGTTGTTTTCAAGTCGGCGTGCGTGAGGGGCGACGGCGACAAGGGCGACGGGGGAAACGTCGTTCAAGGCACGACACAAACAGCTGCACGCAGACCGTTCTCGCTGCATGCAGACATCGAGCGCGTCTCAAACGCTGCTCACGACGAATGCACGGCCGTGTGTCAAACATACAGTAAGGGACTCGGTTAAGCGACATGCTCTGTGATCGATCATTAAACCACGCCGCACCGCCCGTCGCATCCCTGTAGTACAACTGCTGTATGAGTGGTAGGTCGGCTTAGCGACATGCCCGGGATAGCGGCCACATTTCGCCAAGACCCCCAAAAAGGGGTCGCTAAAGCGAGGCCCCCACTGTAGCGAAAAGGTCAACAAAGCACGCCTTCATGAAACACCCTTCCGAGACGAACTCTTGCCTGTTGGAGCCCCGTGCAGAACCCGTCAAGAGCGAGGCGCGCTCGTCCAGCCCGGGCGCGGCAAGCGGGGAAGAGGAGAACATGTCGGGGCTGTTGGAGCGGCTGCGGGGGGCCCCGCAGCTGTTGCCGCCCTCCATGGACTGGTACGAAGGGGAGACCGGAGGGGCGTTGCCCCGGGAGGACGGAGGGCCGCTCTTGGCGCCGAGGTGCTTGAGAAGCTTGGTCTCTTCGGTCTCGAGCTGCTTCACGAGGGGGTTTTGTTGCATGTTGCATGTTGCAGGCCGTCGTCGTTGTTTTCGCGAGATCGATTCGGTCGTACAGGAGGANGGGGGGGGGGGGGGGGGGGGGGGGGGGGGGGGGGGGGGGGGGGGGGGGGGTGACCATGTGCTCATATTCCGTCACCTGGTGTTAGATTCTTCTCGATTGGATTCCTCCACCTTTTCCTCTTGCAGACACCATATCCATCGCCGTTGTATCCTGTCCCGATTTACGCACCTTGCTCGCTCACTCAGCCGCTGCGCCTGACTAGTACCTACCACTCATTGCCAGCTCCAACGGTACAGCTGGCAACAAGGAGCGGTGCCGTGCGGTGCTTGATACCATCACACGCAACACAGAAAGCACATGCGTGTCTTTCATCCCGCGATGAGACTTACGTCCTCTCCATGTGCAGCCGGTTAGCGCGGTCGCTGTCAAATCAAAAGAAAGTAAACATACCCACCCCACGTTTTCACCAATAGAAGCGTTTTATGTGTCACTGGTCAGCCAATAGTTGACGCGATCGGCGCTGCCATCAAATACACACTCACTCACGGACGTTGAGGAGCAGTTTCTGATTTCAATCTTCACTGAGGCGGTCGATCCAAACAAAAATAAGGTAGCGCGGTCGCTGCCAATCAACAGAAAGTAGATACCCACCCCACGTTTTCACCAATAGAAGCGCCTTCTGCTTCTACCCGCACCAAGACATTTGCGTCTATAGTTGACGCGATCGGCACTACTATCAAATACACACTCACGGACGTTTAGGAGCAGTTTCTGGTTTCAATCTTCACCGAGGCGGTCAATCCAAACAACAACAATGACACACATGTTGGTGAACACTCACTCTGCGAGGGGTGGTGAAGGATGCCAAGCGTGGATTGATCTGGCCGACGCTCTGACGCTCCTGCCTCCTCCTGGCGAACCTCAACAGGGTGTCCTTCGCGCGGTCTTCGATGAACCGGGACAGGCGGTCGCTCTCGTCCATGATTTCCTTCAGTGTTAAGAATATTACAGAGACCGTGGGTTTCGGTGGGGGATCAAAACAACAACAATCACAAGGGTTTGATGGTTGACGTAAGACAGAAGGTTGCTCTCGTGCATGATTCCCTTTCGTGTTAAACTATTGTAGAAACTGTGGGTTTCGGTGGAGGTGCAAAAACAGCAACAACAATCACAACGGTTTGATGGTTGAATGAACGCAGGAGGTCGCTGTCTGCATGGTCTTCTTCCCGTTGAAAGCGTGGGATTCGGTGAGGTCGCAAAACAACAACAGCAATCACATTGGTTTCACGGTTGATTGAAGTGGGACAGGCGGTTGCCCTCACCCATCATCCCCTTCGTGTTGAAAGCGTGGGATTCGGTGCGGGTGCGAAGAAACAACAACAATCACTCTTGAGGCTGACCTTGAACTCTCGATCCATGACTTCAATAGTCTTTGAAAGCGTGGGTGTGTGGTGGTGTAAAACAACCAAACTGTCACAACGGTTACCGGTTGCGTACTCTGGGTAGACGGGATCAACATCAAACAACCTATCGCCTCGCCCACAGGCGATTGGGATGTTCTCGCATGGTCACCACAACACCGATCATCACCGCAAACACTACTTGGGGCACGAGTATCACGAGTATCACGAGTAGATGCGCGAGCACAAGATCACCACGCCGAAAGCCTTTCGGCGGGGAATGAGGGATGACGACAAATCTTGAGAACGCGGAGCAGAAAGTAAAGAAAAATGCGGGATAAGTCTCTCTGAACATGCAGTACCTACACAGCTTGTTTGCCGATCTCCATGCATGGTCTTCTCTGTGATGCGATACAATAAAGACAGCCAACCAAAGGTTCGGACATTTTTTCCATCGACGCCACAACAATTAACACCAGTAAGTGCTTTGGGGTACTGTGCTCACCTCTTGGATGATCTCCTCGATGATGTCCTCCAGGGTGATGATGCCCATGGGCCTCGCGGCCCCCTCTAGCGGGACACCACGCTTAAGAGACTCGAGAGTGATGGCGGGGGATGAGCTTCAAGAGGAAGAAGGAAAAGAGCCGGCAGACATGTGCATATATACGGGTGTGTGGGGTGGGAGAAGGGCACAAAAAAAAAAAGTTGGTTCGTATGGAGACTTCGCGTGAGAACCACGGACATGCATCAACACAAACGCGGAGGAGGATGATTAACTAACCTGGGCTGCAGTATAGACCGACCATGGCATCAACAAGAAAAGAAAAGAACAGCATGTACCCGGCAAGGGCGAGAGAAGAATTGCCCATCTAAAGGGATTTCGTTCACGGGACCCGGACCACACGGCGTACACGACACGAGACGGACTTGGCGAGGGCGAGGTGGATTTTTTCCGTCTGGAAGGTGGCCTTTTGACGGGACGCATACCACACCGTATACGGGCGCGGAACTAACAGCCGAGAGCGAGATGCAGTAGAGACTTTCCCGCCCTTCCACGGGAACCTACCAAACACAACGGCGCGGAACCTACCTGGCAAGGGCGAGGTGAGACTTTCCGGTCTGGAAGGTGGGCGATTCACGGGACCATACCACACCGTACACGGGTACGACGGAACATACCGGACGAGACCAAGAAAGAGATTGTCCTCGAAGGGACTGTTCCCACACACCGAAAGCGACACGGATCCTACCTGACAAGGGCGAGGTGAGACTTTCCGGTCTGGAAGGTGTTGAGCAGCTCGAGCAGGCTCTTCTTGGGGGAAACCACCACGGGCACGCGCAGCATGAGCGAGCTGATGACGCGCTCATCGTCCGGGCTGAGCACGATCAGCTTCTTCACCTGAAGGGAGAGTTGGTTGCTTGCAGAGTTGTGAAAAACATGTATGCATGTGGTGGGGTTGGCCTTTTGCTTCAAGGAACGGGTTACACCTGGCCAACGTCGTTCGACGACGAGTTCCTCTTTTTTTACCAATGGCTGTATGTGTTTCTTTTTCGTCATCGAAGTCATAACTCAGCAGAGCGACTTCGACTGACGGCCTGGGTTGAGGACAAATCACTCCTTCAATTGATCGCAGCAGAGACGGCTTCTAAAGAAATTCCCTGCGGTGGAAGCATGGAGAAAACGTCGGTGGGCCGTTTCACCGTGGAGATATTCACCATCCCGCAAATATCAAAAACGGGGATCAAAACACACGACTATCAACGCCGCCATAGCCTCCAACAACAGAAGACAAGACAGCCTAACAATAACCACAGCAGCAGCAGCAGCAGCAGCAGCAACGAGACACACACGCCTGCAGATAGCCGCGGATGTTCCTGGTGTCCTCCCCCTCGTACACGAGGACGCGGCTGTAGCCGGCCGCCATGATATCGGCCATGGTGTTCGCATCCAGCCTCTCGTTGATACCCAGGCAGAAAACCTGCCCCCCCCCCCCGCCGGAACAAGCACCCAAAAAACGGTGGAATGTCTTGTCTGAGACGAGGACGACCGACCGCTGCAGTGCAAGAGTTACGTCCGCCTTTTCTAGCACTTCGTGGCTCCAGGATTTATATCCTACTTGCGTTTTACAGTTGACCGCAGCCTCTACTTCGCCTTTCCCCTAAGGATCGCGTCACGCCTTTTTGGCAATACATGGAACTCCCGTGAGCGAAACGGTCAACAGAAGAGACCATTAGCCGCCCCCTCCCCTCCCCAGCCTGGGTTGAGTTGTAGAGTTCGTGCCTCCCAAAAGGCGGGACGCAGAGAGTGTACAGTGAGGATGGGCAAAGCTCCACCGCTCGCTCTCTTCACCCGTACAGTACGTCCACATCGCACAACACAATCGCGCCGCACCCAACAAAGACGAAAACGTTCAGACCAGAAGGGCTCACGACCCCCCCCC